AATACTCTAAGTGTTTTTTTCTCCAATCCCAAGTCAAGCTTGTGGAGTTTATCTCAGCGTGGCCTTCTTCGACCACTGACCTCGTGAGTTATACGACAGCCCCCGAATTGAGTTCGTTGTCTTTGACTAACGAGCCTAGATTTGCGAGGGCATCAGATTCGCTATTTTGATCTCGAGGCACATGTTGCAAAGTCCATTCTTTGAACCGGTGTATAGTTACTTGTAGCTTATCCAAGTATCTTTGCATTCGTTCCTCTCGAACTTCAAAGGTTCCGTTAACCTGATTCACAACGAGGAGGGAGTCGCATTTGGCTTTGATTACCTCTGCTCCCAAGCCTTTAGCTAGTTCGAGACCTGTAATCATGGCCTCATATTCGGCCTCGTTGTTAGTCAATTCAGTTCTAATAGATTGTCTAACCACGTTACCTGTGGATGGTTTCAGCATGATGCCGAGTCCGGGCCCCTTCATGTTCGAAGCACCGTCTATAGGGTCCAGATCCCCGAAGATATAATAATTCTCTTTCAACCTCGGGCACTAGGGCTGGTGTGAAGTCAGCCGCGAAGTCTGCCAAGATTTGAGACTTGATAGCTATTCGGGGTCGATACTCAATATCGTACCCGCTGAGTTCTACGGCCCATTTGGCCAATCGCCCCGAAAGCTCGGGTTTTTGCATAATATTTCGAAGAGGATAAGTTGTTACAACACATATGGATGACATTGAAAGTATGGTTTATGTTTCCTAGAGGCGCTTATCAAAGCGAGTGCTAACTTTTCTAGATGAGGATATCTAGTTTCGGCTTCACCTAGGGTCCGACTAACATAATAGATAGGGAATTATGTACCTTGTTCTTCTTGGACTAGGACCCCACTTACAGCTATCTTCGATACTGCTAGATATAAGTAAAGTTGTTCGTCCGCCCTCGGCATGTGAAGCAGCGGCGGGCTCGACAAGTATCGCTTAAGTTCCTCCAAAGCTCGTTGACATTCTGGGGTCCATGTGAAGTTGTTCTTCTTTTTCAGCAACGAGAAGAATCGATGACTTATGTCAGACGATCTCGAGATTAATCGACCCACGGCTGCAATGTGCCCGGCTAGCCTTTATACAGCATTCATATTATCTACTATCGTGATATCCTCGATTGCTTTGATCTTATCGGGGTTGACCTCGATTCCCCGATTCGACACCATGAATCCAAGAAACTTGCCGGACCCGACCCCGAATGCACATTTCTTCGGGTTGAGCTTCATGTTGTATTTCTTCAGTATACTCAAAGTTTCCTGCAAATGCTTCAAATGGTCCTCTGCTCGCAGAGACTTAACTATCATGTCATCAATACAAACTTCCATAGATTTCCCTATTTGTTAATCAAACATTCGGTTTACTAGGCGTTGACAGGTTGCACCGGCATTTTTTAGTCCGAACGGCATTACATTATAACAGTAGTTACCACACTTAGTGATGAACTGTCACTAACCTACTTACGAATTCAACAGCAAAGTAGGTCATTACATGCTTGCATCACTTTCTCGTCTTCCCATTTTGCTTCCTCACTAGGATGATTCTTCCATACAACTTTCATGGTAATAAGGTCTTTCGATCAAAGCCTTCTCACTTTCTATCGATAATGATTTCCGGCTCCTCTTCGTAAGTTAAATTCTTATCTAATTGAAGATTCGAAGTTTGAAGCACATGAGAAGGGTCTGGAATGTACTTTCACAACATAGATATATGAAACACCAGATGAACAGAGGATAATTCAGGTGGAAGTGCCAAACAATATGCCACGGCACCAACTCTGCCAAGTATCTCATATGGTCCAATGTATCTAGGACTTAACTTTTCTTTTTTCCCAAATCTTAAAATACCTTTCATCGGTAAAACCCATAAGTAAGCATGATCTCCTACCGAAAATTCTAATTCTCGACGCCTCTTGTCCGCATAAGCTTTTTGTCTACTCTGGGCTGCTAGTAACCTCTGCCTGATTAATTGAACTTTTTCAAGTGCTGAATTGTACCAAATTCGGACCCAAAACCTTTGCCTCGCCAACCTCGAACCAACCAATGGGAGACCAACATCGTCTTCCGTATAGTGCCTCGTAAGGTGCCATTTGTATACTTGCTTTAAAGCTATTATTATAAGCAAACCCAACCAAAGGTAGATATTGGTCCCAACTACCGCCAAAATCAAGGACACAAGATCTCAACATATCCTCCAGTATTTGTATAGTCCGTTAGGACTGCCCGTCCGTCTATGGATGAAATGGAGTGCTCAGGTCCACACACGTTCCTAGTGCTCCCTGAAATGCTCTTTAGAAGTGAGAGGTAAACTGGGATCCCCTATCTGAAATAATAGACACCGGGACTCTATGAAGTCGAACAAACTCATCTATATAAATTTGCGCGTAATGCGCGCCATTATATGTGGTATTGACCAACAATAAACGCGCCGACTTCGTAAGTCGGTCTACAGTTACCCATATAGAGTCATAAGCTTTAGGAGTCCGTGGCAACCCGCTCACAAAGTCCATAGTATTTCGTTTCCACTTCCATTCTGGAATCTCAATTTGTTGCATGAACCCCGCCGATTGTTGATGCTCGGCCTTTACTTGTTGTCAAGTGAGACACCGGGTGACATAGTTCGCAATATCTTTCTTCATGCCATCCCACCAATACAACTGCCGAAGATCCTGATACATCTTTGTTGATACAGGATGGACCGAGTACTTGGAGCCATGTGCTTCCTCAAGTATCTTGTGTCTCAAGCCATCGATATCAGGTACATAAATACGATCCCCTAATCGTAGTACCTTATCACTATCTAGAGTAAAATCTTTACTCTTACCGGCAGCAACGTTGTCTCTGATTTTGCACAATTTCGAATCCAAATATTGCTTCGCCTTGATATCCTCTATTAATGATGATCTGGCTTGAATATGTGCCAATAATGAGTTCGTTTGTCCCAAACTAAAGTTTATTCCACAATCTTCTAATTTGTGGATTTCTTTTGCTATGTTCCTCCTTATTAGTGCAATGTGAGCCAAACTACCCATAGACTTTCGGCTCAACGCGTCAGCCACCACGTTAGCCTTGCCTGGGTGATACAATATCGTGCAATCATAATCCTTTAGTAGCTCAATCCACCTTCTTTGTCGGAGGTTCAAATCTTTTTGTTGGAAGATATACTGGAGGCTCTTGTGATCGGTATAGTTCTCGCATTTCTCTCCATATAAATAATGTCGCCAAAGTTTGAGTGCAGATACAATTGCCGCCAACTCTAAGTCATGTGCTAGATAATTTTGCTCATGCTTCTTCAATTGTCTCGAAGCATAAGCTATGACTCGGTCATTCTGTATGAGAACACACCCAAGTCCCACTCGGGAGGCATCACAATATACTGAAAAAACTCCAGTTCCAGATGGAAGCACCAATACTAGAGTTGTTGTTAGGCATTCCTTGAGTTTCTGAAAACTTCGCTCACATGCATCTGACCATTAAAATTTCACATGTTTTTGTGTCAGCTTCGTCAAGGGTGACGCTATCTTTGAGAAATCCTGCACGAAGCGCCGATGATAGCCAGCGAGACCTAGGAAGCTTCATATCTCGGTTGTGGTGGTTGGCCTCGGCATTTCTATACCGCTTCCACTTTCTTTGGGTCAACTAAGATCCCTTCCTTGGATATAATATGACCTATGAAGGAAACTCGATCTATCCAAAATTCGCGCTTAGAAAACTTAGCATATAGCTTATGCTCTTCGAGTGTCTGTAGTACCATCCTCAAATGTTTTTCATGATCCTCAAAAGTCTTAGAATATACAAGTATATCATCGATAAATACAATTACGAATTTGTCCAGGTACAGCTTGAACACCCTGTTCATCATGTCCATAAATGTTGCTGGTGCATTTGTCAGCCCAAAAGGCATCACTAAAAATTCGTAGTGTCCATACCTGGTTCGAAAGGCCGCCTTTGGGACGTCTTCACCCTTGATGCGTAGCGGATGGTATCCTCACCGTAGGTCAATCTTTGAGAATCTCCTTGCACCCTAGAGTTGGTCGAACAAATCATTAATATGTGGTAGTGGGTATTTATGGCGTATCGTGACCTTGTTCAACTGTCGATAGTCTATACATGGTCTCAGGGACCCAACCTTCTTCTTTACAAACAGAACTGGTGCGCCCCAAGGCGAAGTGCTCGATCTAATGAAACCTTTATTTAATAGATCCTGCAGTTGTTCTTTCAATTCTTTCAACTCGGTTGCGCCATTCGGTACAGAGGTATCGATATGGGCTGTGTTCCAGGTACTAGATCAGTTATGAAGTCAATTTCCCTAACAGGGGGTAAGCCAGGTAGATCTTCCGGAAACACGTTAGGGAATTCTCTAACCACATGAACATTCTCTATTTCTGGTACTATAATGTTCGTGTCTTTGAAAAATGCCAAATATCCCTGGCAGCCCTTATTCAACATTAGATTCGCACTCATGAATGATATTTAGGCTATTCGAAGGTGGTCCTTGGTCACCATGTAAAACGAAACTTGACTCACCCAGTATGTCAAATCGAACTGTCTTAGAATGACAATCAACGGTTGCATGGCATGAAGCTAGCCAATCCATGTCCATGAATACATCAAAATCTACCATGTCTAACTTATTTAAGTCTGTTAAGGTGTCCAGCCCTTCGATACCAATTCGACATGAATGGTACACTCATTCAACTAGTAATGATTCCCCAACTATGTAGCAACTACAAAAGGTTCTGACAATAACTTTTGAGGCCTGATAAACCTCATAGAAAAATATGGGGAGACAAAGGAATGGGTAGATCCAGGGTCAACTAATGCAATTACATCAAATGCACACACTGAGAGTATTCCTGGGACATCATATTATGTGTTTAAATCCTACGATATCATATAAACACAGAAGAATAGGCCAATACAAGGTCATTCAACATAGTAACATCAAATGGATACACTAAGAGCGTACCTGTGACGACTGCATTAGATGCCTGCGCATCCTGCCTGGTAAAGGCAAACAGTCAGGATTGACCTCTCTCGGCAACTCCTGATCCTTTATTGCTTGGGCCATAGTTTCCAGTGCCTCTACGTGCTAACCCCAAATCCTCCCTAACTGTCTAGGCTGTAGAGCTGGCTGGTATGGCATTCATTGGTGTTGACGACTGGATAAATCCTTTTTGTAGCGTGGGCAATCTCTCTTGTAATGTCCTCTCTGACCACAACGAAGGCACGCACCAATTTCTCTCCAACACTGGCCCGAATGAACCTTATGACAACTAGGACAAGTAGATATAGTGCGGTCGGTGTGCCCAGGTGTTGGTACCAAACTTCTAGGACTCTGTTTCGAGGCAGAAGTACTGATAGATGGTTGGACAATCGATGATGCTCCCATTTGTGCAGTCCTTAGATGGTTGTGTGATCCTGTGCCTCGATTAGTACCAATACCCCCTCCAAAGGATCATGTGGTCTTTGTCCTCTTATTTTGGGCTTTAGCTGCCTTCTCTTCTATCCACCGAGCCTCTACCTCTCTTGCAACATCCACTGCATGTGCGTAGGTTATGTCATTCTTAGTTATGTGATGCCAATGGTTTGAACAATGGGCCGATTAGACCTCGTATGAACCTCTTAGTCTGCATAGCATCATCATCCCCTAGACGTGGTGCATATCGAGATAAACGAGTGAACTGAATATTATACTCATTCACTGACATCTCTGAGGTCTGCTTTAACCCCTCAAATTGAGCTGCCAAAGCATCTATACGGCTCATAGGCAAGAATCTCTCAATAAAGGCAATACAAAATTCATTCCAAGTTAAGGGACGTGAGCCAATTGGTCAGCCTGCCTTAAACGGTTTAAACCATTCTTCGGCAACATCCTGCAAACAATAGTCAGCCAACGCAACCGACCTCGCACTGGTACATTCAAGCACATCTAATGCTTTTTGAGTTCCATCCAAGAATAGTTGTGGGTCCTCGGTCTCGCTAGCCCCTGTAAGCACGGGAAGCTTCAGCTCCAAAAACTCCTGAATTAATTTCCCAAGTGGTTGTTCGTTCTGGTTATGGCTGTCACCCCTTTCAGACATTGCATTAACCCTCGATTGTGTCCGGACCTTTTGTAGCAAACTTTCCATGGCTTGATGCAGCATCGCCGCTATGACATCAGTAGTACCGCCACCTGGAGGCTGTGAGGGTGGTATCACCTCATTTTCTATGATCGGGTGGACAACCTGTCTAGCAGGTATGCCTCGACCTCTCTTTCGACCCCAACCTAAGTTTGGTGGAAGCATAATTCTAGTATGTGGTGCTTCGCGCCTGTCTATCTGTCCGGTCCCACTATTAGCCAAGCGTGCCTTTGACATCTATAATCATAACAACATGGTTAGTATGCTTACTTGGCTCTAAATCGCATATATCACTCTTTTAAGATTCAATAAAGAATAAGAAAGACAAGCCCTAATCGGTTTCCGTCGAGCCCCGATCATGCATATGGTGCACAACATATACAAAATTAAGCTTCTACTAAAATCGTTGCTCCTTAAGTCATATTTTAAACCTAAAGCTCTGATACCAACTCTGTCACGACCCGACGAGGGTCATGACCGGTGCTAAGTGGGTCTAAGACCACTAAGCAAGCCCAACTCTTTCTGTTTCATGTCAAAAATTCGGCAGAGTCTCCTCTATACCGGTAGCAATCCAAAACTTTAAACCTGTCAGCAAACCCAAATCAACACACTATAACAACAATAACACAAAGATACAAAGTCTAAAAAAATATCAACAACACCAAGACACATGGTTCAACATCAACTTTACACGTCTCAAGCTACTCTATTACTACACAAGCCAAAATATAAGCCCAAGACCGACTTAAGGAGCAGAACTCGAGGATTTTAAACCAACAACATGCCAAAGTAGTCTAAGCAAAATGACAACCCACGGGAAGAAAGTGCTAGGCTTACGAGATCCACGGTCAGCTCTGTCAATCACTATATCTGAGTTGAAGTGTCAGCTTCAGCTATATTATCTGTGGTGTGGAAAAGAAAAGAAGAAACACGGTCAGTCACACCGATTGAGTGAGTAATAACGTCAACCATAGCAATTATTTGGAACAAGCATATATCAGAAATAATGTATCACGTAAGATCTTCAATAATAGTTCATTAACCCAACATAATAATTCATATATGAAATGATAAATCAAGGGAGTGAAAACATGCTCATAATTCTATATTTTTCTATATTTTCTTTAAAATGAGAGATACTCAAGCCAGAGTCGATATACTTTCTGACAACATGGGTCTACCATGGCCGTCTGACAACCCCGTCAGCTAGGTTCCCTTCTAGAGGGTATAAGTGTGATAAACACCGGTCTATCGTACAAGGTGCACCAGGTCAAATGATCCCGAAGTTAGATAACAGCGATCTGGCCAAGTTGATTCTCAAAGCTATTTCCTTTATAGCACAATATGTTTTTACACTCTTCTTAAATCCAAAATAAGGAGAAGAAATCATAAATAAACTAACTCCAAAGTATATTAATTGTAATAGAGCTCATGTATTAGAGCGTCATTTGGCATATATCAACATACCAGATTATACTATTGCTTGTCCATATGCAACTAAATAAGCTTTTGTTAAAATATGTTTGATGCAAGAAACTAGTTTCAAATATGCTATAGTTGAAAATCAACTATGGATGAGTCATTACTCACAGTATTCTTGCCGAACAACTCCAAGTTGGCTTCCAATAATCGCGTCATCGGAATATCAAATATCTACATAAATATAATCTGTGTATATTATTTATCTTCGTAACCTATGAAATTTAATTTATTCTAGGGATGAAATTTATGATTCCGGAACCTACTTTGCTGTTGAATTCAGTTACATATCTCTTCAAAATATGAGTTGCAACTTTGTTGTTCCAACTCAAATTTCAATTCTAGTATAGTTCCAGGAGTCATACTAGCAAGTTATAAAACTAGTCTTCATTATACAAGAAGACCCATGTTCAGCTAATATTTTTAATGTCACCTTCTTCCTAATCATCTTCAAGTGTACTCATTGTCTTGGTATTATTTTGGTAAAGAAGGTTTTTATTTACTGCCAAGATAAAACCTAAATTAACTTTTACCCAAAATTGAAGTGTCTCAACAAGTCTCAGATTATTGAATCCCACTCCTTGCTATTATTGCTATTTACCCCTACGTAAAAGGATGGAGTTATCAATGAATAGAAGAATCAGAGACTTACTTGCAATATTCTATTCCAGAATGAAGACGCAATTACACCTCCTCTAAGACAGCTAGTGTTCAAGGTTTTGAGGGTAGCAACTCCTAGTTTGGTGTTGGAGTTTGCCGCTATAGGATTTTTCTCTTTTCTTTCCTCCTCCTATCTTCCGTATCTTTGCTGCTTCTTCTTTTTCTCTTCTTGTTTTTTCTTGGAGAATCGCTGCTTGGCAGACCCAATTGAAACCAGCGTTGCTGGTTTTATGTTTCTCTCACCGCCTCTTAAATTTTATTTTTCTCTCACCGCCTCTTTTATCTTTTATTATTACTATTAATTAAATATTAGGATATTGGGTCAATATCTTATTAATCACTAGATTCATTTAGTGGGCCAAAGCCCAACTAGTTGGGTCATTACATGAACGAAGTTTTTTCCTGATCTTCCGGGTTCAGTTGTATTTGGTTGAACCCAGAATAGGCATCGAGAAAACTAAGGATCTCATGGACGACCGTGGCATTGATAATGCGATCGATGTTAGGCAAAGGAAAAGAATCCTTGGGGCATGCTTTGTTTAGGTCTTTGTAGTCCACACACATCCTAAGCGTGTTTCCCTTTTTAGGGACTACTACTACATTCGCTAACCATTCGGGATATTTTACTTCCCGGATGGACCTTATTTTGAGAATTTTGGTTACCTCGTCCTTGATGAAAGTGTGTTTGACCTCGGATTGTGGTCTCCTTTTTTGTTTCACCGGGCGGAACTTCGGGTCCAAGCTCAGTTTATGAGTAGTGATCTCCGGTGGGATCCCTGTCTTATCGAGATGGGACCAGGCAAAAGAATCCATATTATCTATAAGAAATTGAATAAGTTCTTTCCTGAGCTCGGGAGTTAACCTCGTGCATAGGTGTACCTTTCGATCGGGCAGATGCTCGATCAGTATGATTTGTTCCATCTCTTCGACCGTTGATTTTGTGGCGTCAGAATCTTCGGGGATTATAAAGGATCGAGTTACCCTATAGTCATCATCCTCGTAAGTCCCCTGCTCCTCCGGTTGGGACGAGGTCGAGGTCTGTGGTTGCTATCTAAACTCATTTTCCCTTCGAACTTGACCCTTTCGTTGATGAGAGCACCGATATCGGTATCACTTCGTCGATGGAAAACATTTCCTTGGCGGCGGGTTGCTCCCCATAGACTATTTTGACTCCCTTTGGCGTTGGGAACTTTAGAACCTGGTGAAGGGTCGAAGGCACCGCCCTCATGTTATGGATCCACGGTCTCTCGAATAGGGCATTATACCTCATATCGCCCTCGATCACATGGAACTTCGTTTCTTGGATGCTCCTATCCACGTTTACTGGCAAAGTTATTTCGCCTTTGGTGGTTTCACATGCCATATTGAATCTATTTAGAACTCGGGCCGTGGGTACAACCTGATCTTGTAGGCCGAGCTGTTCCACGACCCTTGATCGAATTATGTTGGTCGAGCTACCTGGATCAATCAAAACACGTTTAACTTGAGTCTTATTCATAAGTACAGATATTACCAGTGCGTCGTTGTGGGGTTGTTCGATCCCTTCTACATCCTCGTTATTGAAAGACAAGGTTCCTTTTGGAACGTAATCCCGAGTTCACTTCTCCCTTGTGATCGACACCTTGGTGCACTTTAATACTGGTCCTTGAGGAGTATCGACCCCTCCAATGATCATGTGAATCACGTGCAGTGGTTCTTCTTGCTCGTTCTGTCTACTGGAATCTCTATTTTTGAAGTGACTCTTGGCCCGATCTCTTAAGAATTCCCGAAGGTGCCCCTCGTTGAACAATCGGGCTACTTCCTCCCTTAGCTGCCTGCAATCTTCTGTTTTATGGCCATAGGTGCCATGATACATGCATATTTGGTTGGAATTTCTCTGGGCCGGATCGGTCTGCAGAGGTCGAGGCCATCTAGTATCCTTGATACGTCCAATGGCTGATACGATGGCGGATGCATCTACATTGAAGTTATATTCCGACAATCATGGCGCTTCTTTGGGCCTGGCATCCCTTTCAAAACCACCCTTGCTCATGGGTCCCCGTGAACTTTGACCTCGATCATTTCTCCTCTCATTCCGTGCAAAGTTTCGCCCAGACCCGATGCCTCTACGGTCTCCGTTATATGGTTAATATCGATCTTTATTCGACCTTGGTTCTCGGTCGATATCCCTCTTGATTCTATCCACAGGCTTGTTAGGATAAACGGACCCGGAAGGAGTCCCCAGTTGATCATCCTCGACCCTGATCTTCGGCTGATACCGATTATGTACATCGTCCAAGTGACAGCTGGATACTCGATCAAGTTTTGCTTCAATTGATGTGAAGCTATGGAACTCCGAACGTTGAGGCCTAAAGTGAAAGCTTGAACAGCCCAATCATCAGTGACCGACGGCAGATCCATTCGTTCCGTTTGGAATCGAGATACGAATTTCGTGATCATCTCGTTTTCCTTCTGCCTTACCTTGAAGAGGTCCGACTTTCTTGTTGCAACCTTAATGGCTCCGCGTGTATCTTTACAAAAGAATCTGCAAGCATAGCAAACGAATCAATAGAAATAGGCGGTAAATTATGATACCATATCATAGCACCCTTCGATAGAGTCTCCCGAATTTCTTCGGCAAAACGAATTCGATCTCGTCATCTTCCAAGTCATTTTCTTTGATGGCACACGTGTATGAGGTGACGTGTTCGTTTGAATCAGTCGTCCCGTTATACTTAGGAATCTCGGGCATACAGAACTTCTTGGGAATTGGCTTCGGATCCGTACTTGGGGGGGTGGGGGTGGGGGGTGGGGGAAGGTTTTTGTACAAATATTTTTTAATCTAGTCCTTTCAATATCGGTGGTGCCCCCAGATTTGGTCAACCCTGATGTTATAGGTTTCCATCTTCTTATCGTTTTCCTCGATCTTCTTTTCCCCAGTCTCGATTCACTTTGTCAACTATTCGAGCATTTTTATAATAGGGGGATTGGTCTCTGATTCCTTCTCATTCTATTTTCTTGAAGCCGATTCGACCCTGTGTACGACTTCTTGGGATGGCTCGAGTTGGACCCTACTCGGCGTGTGGTTCTGATTTTGGAGCTGAGTTATTGCTGCCTGCTGGGCCTGCAACATTTCAAAGATTACCCGCAGGCTGATCCAGCCATCTTCACCGCCATGTGCATTCTGAGTTATTGATCGAGTACCCCCACGAACTCTGCTTTTGGGATCGACGACCATATTTCTATCGATGGCTACATGTGAACTAACGTCGATTGGGTCTACAGCCGAAACTCCATCGAGGCTAGCAAGGGGTAGAATATTTCCTGGTGCAATGTTCTCATTCGCGCCGTGATGGCTGAGATCATTGTCAACGTGTTGAGGTGCTGACTGAGAGTTTGACATTTTTTAATCCTGTAATCAAAGGCACTTCAAAGAACAAGCGTAAAATAGTGTGTGTTACGAAAATTATACCAGGCAATCACTATTATCCTAAGCCCCACGGTGTGCGCCAAACTGTTTACCCTAAAACGGATAACAATTGAATTTATATTGTGGTTTTAAGGATACGTGATTTACTTAGCACAAACTAAGAGAAAACGTAAATTGATACTGAAATTAACTGCAAATATAAATAAAGCGAACCAAATGCAAGGTATAGCTTTGACCCTTGAGCCGGGTTGCCCTCGAATCAAATGAATATTTCGCCGAAAAGTATGAACAAAGTGACAGAAATATTGGGAGCTTAAGAGAATAAGAATATATTGCTTTATGTCAGGTGTATATGGTTTGTTTTACAAATGATCAGACCCCTTTATATAGTAGGGGAATCCTGCTCTTGGTACAAGTCTAAATACAGTAAGAAAGCTCATGATTGGCTAATTAATCGGCCTCTTCTTGATACGTGCCGGGATTTGCGCCATGATCTTCGCCCGATTGCGGATATTTCGTCTTTCCGTTATTCGACCCCATAAGCTTCCCTCGAACTCCAACTTATTCGGTCTTGATCTTGGTCGATCTCGGTTTTGGGGTCTCGATCTTAACCGGTCCTAAGGTCTCGAGCTTGACAACCTAACTTTGCACCATATGAATCGAAGCCGATCCTCGATTTATCATGCTCGAGCCTCGATCAGTCTTACAAAAAAGGGTAAGCCCGATTTTGACCGTATATAAATAGATATGAACCTATAACTTTAAATGCTAAACCCATAGAACTAAAATCAGACATCCGTCTCTGTCTGCGATTTCTTCTTCTTCCTTGGCTACTGAATGGGTCAAGGGAGAACCAATCAAGTCTTTCGTCAATCCTTTATGATGGATCGGCTCATTTTCATTTAAAAAAAATGTTTAGATACAAATTACAGCTAGACAGAACTACGTGAAAAGCAAGAACTTTGGCTCTTTTGATATGCTTGCGGCTACGTTGCCAGCATTAAAACTTTAAAATGAAGAATTCAGTTGTAAAATGAAAGAAATCTTCTTAATCCGTTCGCTTCGGCACCGAATTATCCGGTGGACTTTGAACAACCTAGGCCCAAGTATGAAGGGCTACGCTACAAAGTGTAAGCGGGAGAAATTTAAAAATAGCCAGATACAAGTATAGTCACAGTTTCAGAGTGATTGAAATTTAGCCACTTTTTATGTTAAGATAAATCTGAATGAAAACATTGTTCAAAATCTGAAAAATACTCCAACATAATATACTGGAGTTCAGCATAAGTATACTAGAACTCCAATATATTATACTAGAGTTCTAGTATAATATATTGGAGTTCTAGTATACTTATGCTGAACCAGCATAATATGCTGGAAGTTCATACACAGGTGCTCCAATCTTCAGTATATTATGCTACAATTTTCCGTATAGCAGCAAAATAATGGCTATTTTTTTATGATTTTGCAAACGCTGCTATTTTTAAATAATCGACCCGAAAATTGGCTAGCCTTTACAGTGTAAGCTGCATAGGCCCAATATCTCATTCTACATATTGAGCCCAATCCATTTTCGTCAAAATCTGGATAAACTTCAACCACTTGTCTGCTTCGACTCTCCGAACCGCCTCTCTTAACCTTCCACACAAACGGGAACCTCAGATATATATGCTACACACGCATCCATCCATTTGATTCCCAAATTCAATCAATTAGGGCAAATAAATAAGATGTTAAAGCAAGTTGGAAACAGAGTTCTGGGGCTAGGGCAACGATCGTCAGTGGCGCGTGGGGTGTTGCCACGGCTATATCATGAAAGAGTGGTGGACCATTACA